AGCCCGGAGGGAAAGGGAGTGTAGAAATCAGTAGAGTGACGAGCGCGGGATACAACAGACGCCTGAAACACAATCAGACACATTAAACATGTGAATAGACCTCAATCTGTACAGACAACTGTGTTTGAAATTACTTGATTGCTTTCAGAAAGCTTTGGGGATTTTTAGATGTCCATTAAGATACTGTTGGGCCCATTTTTTTTTTAGTACATCTTAATTTAAACTTACATAAGTTAACTTCAACATGCAGTAAGTTAAGTCTTGTTTCAAATATCTAAACATTCTTAAATTAACACGTTTACTTTTGAAGCAAAATGTCTTCAGATATTAAGTCTTGTTTTCTGGAGAAAAAAAAATTACAATTTTGTAAGCTTTTGCTTAAAAGAGAAAAAATATCTGCCAATGGAGTAAGAAAATTATTTTAATTCTTAATAATTCTTAATCTATTTTAAGCAAAAATATTATTTTTCCCTTAAGATTTATTAAGAATTAAGATTATTAGCATATATTTGTTCTTGTTTTAAGCAAAACTAAGAAAATGTTGATATTTTTCAGAAAAAAAACTAAATATCTCAAGTCATTTTGTTTCTGAAGTAAATGTATTTTGATTCAAGAATGTTTAGATATTTATACTTAAAACAAGAAGAAAAAAAAAGTAAGAAAGAAAATAATTTTTGCAGCGCATAAGTTGAACTGAAGGAGAATGAGAAATATCTCCATGGCAACTAGCTGAAAAAAAAAAATTCATCGTAACAAAAAAAAATTACATTTTGATATATTTAACTTATTTCAAAAAAAAAAAAAAAAAAAAAAAAAAAGAAGAGAGCCGTGATCGTCTCTGAGAGAGAGAGAAGATTGCTTTAACTCTTTACATACACATCATGTGTTTTCTAAAGCGTATTAATGCGCACAAACCTTCATCTCTGTTCCACACGGCCAGAACTCTGAAGATAAAGGCACTAAACGTAGCAGCAAAGAATCCACGCCAGTAGTTTCGTACGGCGAAAAACGTGGAGGTGACTTCAATGCTGAATAACACACCTGAAATACACACATACAGAGTTAATATCTTGATGGAAATTTTCAGTGGTTTTTCAAATTTAGAAAATTTCAGTTTTTTTTTATACAGAATTTTTCTAAGTGTTTTTCTAACCGGTCATAAGTGTGAATTTTTAGAAATTGAGATTTATGCATCATCTGAAATTGATGTATGGTTTGTTAGGATAGAACAATATTTGGCCGAGATGCAACTATTTGAAAATCTGGAATCTGAGGGTGCAAAAAAACCGAAATATTGAGAAAATCATCTTTAAAGTTGTCCAAAGGAAGTTCTTAGCAATGCATATTACTAATCAATAATTAAGCTTTGATATATTTACGGTAGGAAACATACAAAATATCTTCATGGAACATGATCTTTACTTAATATCCTAATGATTTTTAGCATAAAAAAATCAATAATTTTGACCCATACAATGTATTTTTGTCTATTGCTACAAATATATATCTGTGCTGCTTATGACTGCTTTTGTGCTCCAGGGTCACATATAGACATTTAAGTTTATTTTTTTTTAATTTAGAAATGTTCTATTTTTTAAATAGACATTTTGTATGTTTTTTTTCCTGTAAATTTTCATAAAGTACAAATAACAATGTAACCCCTAGTTAAAACTGCCTTAACTACATTACAAGCACTAGTACAAGTTTTTTCAAAAATACAATTTTTTTTTTTTCTCCAAATATAGGAATGTTAAGCTTTTTTCCAAACACAGACTTTTTGTACGTTTCTTCAAATTTACAGTAAATATTCAAAACATACAAATAGCACTGTATCTCAAGTAAAAACTGCATTAACTACATAGTAACAGTACATATTTGTAATTTTAGGAACATTATTTAATTTTCATGAGAATGTTTTTACTTTGTGTGCCATTCAGAACTGAACTGAAAACGGCTCATAAATAATTTACCTACAAAGTCTTCAGAATTCTTGCCATCTAAAAAATAGTTTATAATTTACCAATCTACATTTATGCATTTATTAGACACATTTATCCAAATGTAAGATTTGTATGAAGGACAACTTAAAGTCATTTGTTTCCTAATATATAATACTGGATAAAAATTAAATCTGCAAAAAAGTCTTTCTAAACCCAAAATATAAATAACAAATGACAAGAACTTTTGATGTCTTTTTTAGATAGTAAGAAGGCATTAATTTTTCCTCATAATGTCAGTCAAAGTGTCTTGCACCAAAAATGCTTGCAAATACTGATATTTTTCTTGCAATTCTCATTTTCATAGTTTTTCTACAAAGTTTTCAGAATTGGGCCAAAAAAAAAAACAAGAAGCAGGATTAGAAGACCTAACATCAGTATAAATATTTTCTGATATACATGTTTATTATTAGCATATCTGTGTGGTTAAAAATGAGTATAATCAACAGATACAAACTTTGAATGAAATATTTTTTGCAGGGCAAAACTAAGTTTTGATGGATGTTAATTATTTTGACAGTTTAGAGAAATATGACTGATTTAGTCAAAAATGATTAAATTCTGAGCATTTACACAATGTTGTTTGGTTGTTTCAGAAATGTGGTTCTGACCTCCAATAGGAGCAGCAAAGCAGCATCCGACACCGACAGCACAAGCCGCCGCAAGCATCTCGATGTTTCTGGACTCATTCTGTTCAACACACACAACAGAAAATTAACATACAACAGCAGACAACCCAGCTTACTTCAACACACACACACAAAACCAAAAAGCATAAGTGTACATACACACCAGCACAATCCTGGGCTGTTCAATACACCAACACAATCAAGCACAAAAAAATATACTTGCACAAATTCACAAACTATAAAACACACAGCATCTATCACACTATCTATCTACAAACAGATACACACACAAACATAGACACACACCTGTGTTTGGTAAATCTATTCACAGATGGATATCCCTGTTAGTTTTATCCTCACAAAAGGAAAACTTCATCAAGAGAAATGCAAAAATATATACATTTTAGATTGACTTTGGTAACACACACACACACACACGCAAACACACTCACACACACGCACGCAAACGCACACACACACACGCGCACACACGCACACAAACGCACACACACGCACAAACGCACAAACGCACATGCGGAGGCGAAACTCTTTCCAGGAATAAAATTATGGGGTTTATAATTTACCAATCTACATTTATGCATTTATTAGACACTTTTATCCAAATGTAAGATTTGTATCTTACAATGTAAGAAGGACAGCTTAAGGTCATTTGTTTCCTGATATATAATACTGGATAAAAATGAAATAAATCTGCAAAAAAGTGTATCTAAACCCAAAATGTAAATAACAAATGACAATAACTTTTGATGTAAAATTTACTTATTTTTTAGATAGTAAGAAGGCATTAATTTTTCCTCATAATGTCACGCAAAGTGTCCTGCACCAAAAATGCTTGGACATTAGTTTTTTTACTGATATTTTTCTTACAATTCTCATTTTCATACAGTTATTCTCACTAGATTCTCATTACTGTAAAATCAAATTTTACAGTAAAAAACACTAATGTAATTTTTTTTAAATGAGCATAGATAAAATACATTATTTATAGATACCACATTTTGTTCTATTAGAGGAATTTCTTTAAAATTACAGGCTATGATTTTTTTTTAATTACCTCATAAATTCCACCAAAGAACGACATGAATTTGCAGAGAAGAGCAGCACACAAACTGGCAATGTGCACAAACGGACCCTACAGGATAGAAAACACACACAATGCTTGTGATGAACTCAAATCAAAGCAGGGATGCTTTAAACAACACTCATGCCCATTCAAACCCAGGGAGCACGTGCCCCTTCAGCTTTCTGAGCCAAGTGGATTATGATTGTAGCTTTCAAACGACAAAAAAATAGCAAAATAATATTTTTTAGGGCTTGTAAGTGATGGGCTTAATGTAATTAATCGCACATCAAATTTGGCTGAGAAATGACTCCCAAAAGATCATTTGAAGTCATAGTTGTGTAAAGCATCAAACAGACATTACAAAAAGTAGCTTCAGCAAGAAATATTTGATTTGATTCAACATAGAATTTATTACATATACTCTTTTGGACCATGAGGGCGAGTGGGTTGAATTTTTGGGTGGGTGAACTATACCTTTAATAATTTGTATTATTATTATTATTACTATATAAAAATATGAAATTATTTCTTTAATGAAATGATACTCTTAACTGCCAGTAGGTGGTGGTAAATGTCTTAATGATTAAGTCACCGAGTCATTTATTCATATGATTCGTTCAAATGGCTGATTCATTCAGGAGTGAAGTAAATGAATCTTTATGAATGGTTCATTGAATCATTAGGCTTGTTCGACTTGAGCAAAACAGACAACATTGTGTCTAAAATAACAATATTGACTTCTTATTTACTGAACTGTTGTATTAGATCAGTATCACATTTGCACTCGTGTGATATTGCACTTATTTCTCATGTGATATTGCTTAACTATATGATGTAAATATGAGACATAAACTCAAATGGGCATTTTTGCCCCATATCTTGAATTTTAGGGACATTCTAACTATGTTCTCTAGGCTCCATCACGCATTGAGTTGTTGCCCTGCATCATATTTGTCATCAGTCAACTGTATGAAAGGTTAGGTGACACACATAGGTCTGGGAGAGCATAATTACCAAACCGTAATTAATTAATCTAATTAACACGTTAAATGGACAGCCCCTGAGAGTGCTTAAACTCTAAACTGAAGTCAGTGAAAATGTTCTTTGCTCTCTTTCTGTACAATGAAAGTGTTTTAACTTACAATGTTTTTATACAATTCACATTAAATACAAAGTCAGTCCTATTAAAAATATATTATGGCATGACACCCATATCTGGTACTTAAGTAAAAAGACGTTTTTTATGCGTAGTTTATATATTACACTAACATTAGGCGACTTTGCCCATCGCCCATTAACTAACATAATTGATAAAGGTGCAAAATGCATTTACTTACACATATTTGAGAATCGAGATATTTTATGATATAGTTAACACATTTTGGAATATTTCGAATAAAAAGGAAAAATAGATCAAACATAAGCCTATATGTGACCCTGGAGCACAAAAGCAGTCTTAAGTCTCTGGGGTATATTTGTAGCAATAGCCAACAATACATTGTATGGGTCAAAATTATCAATTTTTCTTTTATGCCAAAAATCATTAGGCTATTAAGTAAAGATCATGTTCCTTGAAGACATTTTGTAAATGTCCTACAGTAAATATATCAAAACTTAATTTTTGATTAGTAATATGCATTGCTAAGAACTTTATTTGGACAACTTTAAAGATGATTTTCTCAATATTTAGATTTTTTTGCACCCTCAGATTCCAGATTTTCAAATAGTTGTATCTCAGCCAAATATTGTGCTATCCTAACAAACCATACATCAATGGAACGCTTATTTATTCAGCTTTCCGGTGTATAAATCTGACCCTTATGACTGGTTTTGTGGTCCAGGGTCACATATAAGTTATAAGTGCTATCGTGGCTGCTGTGTGTCACATGACAAGCATGACGAGCCCCCTCAGAAATAATGAGTGCATGACACCCAACACAACATTGACTCATGTGAAAGAGTTTTGATGGAGGAAAGGAAAGCAGGTCAATTAGATCTCAAAACTAAAAACATATTCTGAGTGTGTTCACCTCCTTGCCCAGAGGCAAACCACTGCCCAGTGCGCAGGTCAGTCCGACGACTTTGGCCACAAACGTTTTTAACGTGAGATATTCCTTCAGCACCACTCCTCTGAGAATCGTCTTCATTTCAGGAATACCAGACCCTGAATGAGAGATAAACGCAGGAGTGCACTGCTGAGTTATGAAGAAGAGCAGAAATCTTTCATGAGCGTGTGAATGTTAGCGTGTCTCACCCGCAGCCTGAGGCGCTACTATGTGTGTGAAGCCTGCAGAGAAACTGATGAGAACCACAGGATAAGTGACCCAAGCTAAATACTGCAGGATTACGTTACTGTCCAAACCCCCGTACATCCACTTCTGTGCTGTAGAGAGAACAACACGCAGGACAATTACAGGGCATATGAACTATAACATTTTACTTAGATAAATGACAAAGAATCTAGACAAAAACATACCTTAGTAGAAGTACAAGTTAGCATATTTAAATTGTACTTAAATACATTTATTTCTATGCTTCTGAAATTGACTGATAAAAAAAAAAAAAAGACAATAAGACTTTCTTATTAAAAGTACCTTTAAAGCACAAAAACTGCTGGTCTAAACATTTTTTCCCCAATATTCTAACTTTGAACATTTCTACGTTTGAAAAACTCTCAACATCTTAGAAACGTTCAAAGTTTTTTTTAAAACAGAAATGTTAAAAGTTTTTTCCAAATTTAGAAATATTCAACTTTTTTTTTTTTTTTAAATAGAAATATTCATATTTTTTTAACTTAGAAATATTCAAAGATTTTTTCCAAACTTAGAAATGTTCAAACTTTTTTTTCAAAAATAGAAATGTTGTTTTTTTTCCAAACTTAGAAATGTTCAAAGTTTTTTTAAACTTAAAAATATTCAGGTTTTTTCCAAACTTTTTTTCAAACCTAGTACTGATCTTAGTTTGAGGTTTAAAAATATTCTGACTATACAAAACAAATGTGGACAGATCAGAAAGGAAACATCAATGTGCACAATGACAAAACGCCATAATTACACTTTTATGCCACTACAAAATGTAACTGCAGAATAAAAAAATATTTTATTAAAAATAACTGATTCACAAGCATTGTAAAGCAACTTGTTTAATCACAGTTTTCTCAATATTGAGAAGACTGATCATCAAGTTTGTCCATCTTCAGCCACAGTTATAATTAAAACCAATTTATTGAGGTAAAAGTAAGTATTAAAGAACAAAATGTTTGATTTTTGGCTTAGAAATAAAATTGCAAAAATGCAATCAATAATTTTTAACAGCAATTATGTTGCAAATTTGCCAAAATAAAACTAACTGTACCACATAACTGTCCTAAAGTACTTATACCTCTGATATAGGTGTTTAATTTGAACTGCTTTTATGGAGTAACTAAAACCATCTTTAATCAGTTCTTTAGAAAAGCATCTGTCTTGGTTCTTTAGGGAAATCTGAAACAAAAACACTGACCTAAAGAACCTCCATAAGAACCATATAGCAACTCAAAAACCATATGCAGCCAAAAATCATACAACAATTCCACCTGACATCTTTACCTCTTACACACACACGCACACACACACACACTCACCTTGTAGGAGAAGAGCGATGCAGAAATCCATAACAAAGCTGACCAGAGCCATGACGAGTCCCAGCAAGATGAGGAAGATCCAGTCCTCGCCGACCCGCGACATGAGGAACCGCTGACAGTGCACTGCACAGACTCCACAGAGAGAAAACTACATTACCCACAATGCACCAGTGCCCAAAATCAGACTGCACTACTCACAAAGTACCAGTGCACACATGGAAGACTACATAAACAACAACTACAATAGCAAACAATGCCCACAGCAGTGCAGTGGCTACACAACCTACAATTTACAGCACACAAACACAACAAGAATCAAAGTCAAACAACAACAACATGCAAGAAGAAAAAAAAACACAATGAATTTAATTTTCTGCCACTACAAACACACTGTGTGTGTGTGTGTGTGTGTGTGTTTATAAAAATACACGTGTACATGTGAACATGGCCTTATTTTAACTAAAAAAGACAATAGTAAATAAAATAAGAACAAATAAATTAATGACAATCAATAGCACAAACAAAAACAATAAATGTTTTCAGTTAAGTCTAACTATAATCTATACTCAACTGTAAAATAACACTGGATAGTCTTCACTGTATAATGAAAGGCAGCAGCAGGTTTATTTAGGCTGCTGTCTCTTTAAGACCTCATGCACGGATCTAATATACTGTTACACTCTCAGCTTTCTCTGATACACTCTATGCTTACTTTTCTTTTTAGGAGCACTTGTCCTCCTAATTAAAAAAAAAATAGGATAATAATAAGAATAAGACAAATAAGTTACCAATCATGAAATTAATATTAATAAATTAATTTATACTACAGAGGTGGCACAGAAGGACACAAAAGTGGCTTGTAGGTACATTTTCAGACGTTTAATGAGACTCAGAGGTGGCATGAGTGGAATTAAATTCATACATTCATGTGGAGATTAATGTTTTAAATATAACATTTTTAATACAGAAATATTAAATGATTTAAATAACTGAAATTATATGCTAAAAATGAAACTAAATCCACCAGCAGCTCACACACGTTGCGGGAGCGGGCGGTAATGGTCAGAAATTCAGCGGGAGCGGGCTTAAGAAAACTGTCCCGCTCGCTCAGGGCTCTAGGCCGCGCATCAACGCACACGTTTTTTTTTCACGCTCCCCCATCTCCACCCCCAATCATTAGTGCCGCTTGTTCAACAGAACATATAGGACAATTTTTAAATAGCACCATAAACAAAATTTATTTCAAATTTAATTCAAGCACTTTCAAGGACCTATGTTTGTTTTCAAGTACTTTCCAGGCCTTGAATCCATATGCCTGAAATTCAAGTACTTTCAAGAAGCGTGGGAACCCTGAATATCGATAAATTAACAAGCAAGCACCAATGAAAAGTTCATAATAAGAGCAGGAATATGCATTAAGAATGTCTATTTTGATTGCATGTTTAACTTAAACTGACCGCTTGCTAAGTAAAATCTGTGTAAGATTGTTCATATGAATATATATGAATATACGTGTTATTTTTATGCATATTGCTTACATTTTATTCTGTTTTCACTTTAATATTTACTTAAAGCTTACTTAATTTTTGTGTTTTTGTCATTTTTATTTTTGTAAATGTCTATATAGTATTTCGTTTTATTTATTTAGTTATTTTAGTAATTATTTTACTTCTGTTGGATGGCAAGGCAACATTTTTCATTTTCATTTAGTTTGTTTTATATTTATTAAGTTTATTTTTTAACTTTAATTTACTTAAAGCTTTAGTAATTTTGTTTTGTATTTTTGTCATTTTATTAGTTTTTTAAATGTCTATATAGTTTTTCATTTTTATTTATATAGTTTTAGTTATTTTAGTCCTTAAACCTATTGCAGCAAGGCAAGGCGACTTCTTTCATTTTCATTATCATTTTTATATTTCAGTTTACACTTATTTTTTTCACTTTCACAATTTACTTTAAGGTTATGTATTTCTGGTTTGTGTTTTTGTCATTTTTATATGTTTTTTTTTAATCTATATAGTATTTATTAATTTGTATTTCTTTAGTTTTAGTTATTTTAGTACTTCAACTTAAACTAAATGAAAATGAGAAACGTTGCTTTGGCAACTAGGTGAAATAAAATAAGTTTTTTATATTTATATTTTATTTCAGTTTATTTTATTTCAAGTAACTATTTTTATGGTTTTAGGTTCCTTAAGTCATTAAATCAATTAATCAATCTCTTTAGGTTTGGATTGTCTTTCACTTTAGCTATCAGGTGTGTGTGCGTGTGTGAGTGTGAGAGTGTGTGTGTGTGTGTGCGTGTGTGAGTGTGTGAGTGTGTGTGTGTGTGAGTGTGTGAGAGTGTGAGTGTGAGTGTGAGTGTGTGTGTGTGTGTGTGAGAGAGTGAGTGAGTGTGAGTGAGACACACGGATGCTGTTAGTATCCACGGCAACCTCAATAAGAGCCAATGATGACTCACCAAATGATGGAGCGAGAGCAGTGAGTCTGAGCGTGTACGAGACGGAGTGTGGACGTGTCTTCAAACACACATAATGCTCTTAAAATCACTTCTAAAGCAATGTTTCCAGACGTCTATAATTTCAGCCACCAATTTTAGACAAAAAAGAGACATGAAAGCATGTTACACACACACACACACACACACACACACCGAGACGTGTGTGAGAAGCGGAACTTATAAATGTCTTGTTTATGCACAATATGCAGATGTAATGAGGGTGAAGAGTTTATGTAAATGTGTGTGTGTGTCACTGCTGGCTTCTGTTTTATAACCCCACTCCATCAAAACAAAGTCATTTGCTTGCATTTCTCTCTCTCTCTTCTTCATTTAACCCCTCGCTTTCTGTTCGAAGAACTAAAATTACCTTCTGTTAGCCCATCCGGATTCATTAATGAGCAGCCAAGAGCCAAATGCAGTGTTTCTTACAGAAACTTTTGGGATGTGATATTTACTATTTTTCATAGCCACTTATAGAAAAAGGAGGAACAATTGCGAAAAACAAGTGTGGAAATTGATAAACTCGTTCGACCTTTGCTGAAACACTGATGTTTACTCAAATTTTCCTTAAGCGGTTATTTAGTGTAAAAAAAAAATTTTTTTAAGTTGTAAATAAAATACAAATTATTGGAGTATGTTTTACACTAAAATACGATTTCAGTATTTTTTACTTAAAATTTAATTCAATGTGTCACTTGCCTTTTTTTTGTGAAATTTACTAACAATGTTTGAGAAAATAGTTTCAAAGTAAGTCACTTTCAGTGTAGGTGAGGAAACGGTTTAATACCTTTCTGTAGTTAAAATGTAAATAATTTTAAAGATGTTTAATTACAGTGAAGCTGTTTATAATTTAAAGACATTAAATCACAGATTTAATCTCAGATTTAAAAATAGCTAATCTTTCTCTCTGTATAATTTCAATAAAAACCCAAACAAATTTATAACAAAAAAGGGAATCTCAATTAGGGTGATAATTAGGACTAATTTGCATTTAAAACCCCCACAAAACTCAAATTTATATAAAAATGTAAAACCATGTTAAACAGCTTTGTTTGATCAAACATCAATACCAAAATTTATGAAACATTATTGAACAATAACTTGAACATTTTGAAATTTGATTAATTGTTGAACGGTATCTTCCTAATAAAAAAACTACACTATTTAAAAAGGGTCATGCTACTGATAAATGTAGTTATTATATTACTTATTTAGTTATTATTATACTAATTTTTATTTAGCTACTCCTCAAAATTGTTTAAGTATTTCCAGTACTGTATATGATAAAAATCAATCAATCAATCAATCGATCAATAAGAGTACACACACTTTAAAGAATAGCATGTTATATATATGTTATGTTATATGTTATATAAATATATATATATATATATATATATATATATATATATAT